TTTTGTTTATTTTTTGTCTTGTAATTATTTATGGTGTACTACTTTGACTACTTTTTGTAGCTTTTATTTTATTTTTTTTATTTTTTTTATAGCTTGACAGTCTTTGGTCACTATTCCCTTTCATTGTATGTAAAAGAGCAGCATTAACATTCTTCTAAAATCTACTTGCAACACTATTTATAAGACTGGAGTAGTTGTTTTTATTTTTATTTTTTAAAGAAATGTATACTTTTGCTCAGCAATAAATGCATTAATGTTCTAGTTTCCATAAAAATACTAAGCAGCACAACTGTTTTTAACATTGATGATAATAAGAAATGTTTCTTGGACACCAAATCAGCATATCAGATTGATTTTTGAAGGATCATGTGACATTGAAGACTGGAGTAATGCTGCTGAAATTTCAACATTGTAATTACAGGAATAAATTACATTTTAAATATATTAAAATAGAAAACAGTTATTTTAAATCTGAATATTTCAAAAGATTACTGTTTTAACTGTATTTTGATCAAATAAATTCAGCTATGGTGAGACACCTCAGACTTGCATACTATATTGTAAAAACTTTGTGCATGATGTAAACTACCTACCATAATATAATTTTGCACAGTGCATGGTGTGGTCATAGGGTAAGCAAATTTCTAAATATCATAGCTAAGCAAAACCTGCTTCCAATATAGCACCTTACATAATAAGTAGTTCACCCGGTACGGGAACGGTGTGAACGCAGAGCGGTGTGATTACATCACTTTCCCTTGCTCTGTTTACTCTTTGCTCAGTAGTATTGCATGACTGCTGTAATCATGACCAGATGGGTTAGAGGGGGCTCAATCTAACTGTTAACACTGTTTGTTTACCAGGGAAGTACAGGCCATACTGCTCCTCCAAGACCCCCCCTGCACCGCCCCTTCTCACACTAATGCAAACCGGCTCTTTTAACATCGACAACCTCTTGATCTAATTTATGGCCAGCTGTGCTGTATTAAAGTAGATGTTTTAAGTGCCTTGTTATCATGGACTAAAGTGATAACAATATTCTTGGTTGGTGGTCTTACTGGGTGTTCATCTGTATTTTTTATGCCTGTGCTTGCCAAGGTGAGGTCAAAGTTGTATGTGGTTAAATTATTAATGAACATTTCCTTGGTCTGATTAAATAAAGATGGCTACACTAATTTGATCACATTGGCGGAGTAGAGGAGTGATGGCTCGTCGAGGAATGGGGTCTGTGTCAGCAGCAATAGATTTATAGTAGAATGGACAATACACACTGTTGCTATGATGGTGTTATGATGACATCATGAAATGACCTCTATCAAATTGAATGTTTTTTTCAGCTTATGACTCAATGACAGCTCTTTACCAAACTGTTGGCTCATGATTTTAAGTGGCTGTATTCTCACTTATCACATAAAAAAATAAAATAATAATAAACAATTTATCAGAATCAGAAGAGCTTTATTACCAAGTGTGTTTACACACACAAAGAATTTGACTTGATGACAGGAGCTTCCAGTGCAGAAGAAAGTACAGACATACATAGAAATAGCACAGTAGGGATGGAATATAACACTAAATATAAGAAGAAAAAAAATTTAAATAATGTACTATATTCAGAAATAGAAGTATAGGGAAAAAATGTAATTGTTTAAATAAATGTACAGACATGTTATTTACGAAGTGTGCAGTTTTCAAGTGTACACATTTTGTATTCTGTGTATAATATGTCAGTTGTGATGGACGATGTATAATTATGAAAGTTTAATTGTTCAGGCTGAATATAGCCTGTGAGAAAAAAATGCTCTTGTGCCTGGCTGTTCTGGCAGTCAGTAATCTGTAACGCCGACCAGAAGGCAACAGTTCGAAGAAAGAGTGGGCTCGGTGTGAGGGGTCCACGGTGATTTTCTTAGCCCTTTTCCTCACTCTGTAGATGTAAAGATTTTGGAGGCTGGGCAGAGGGGCACCGATAATCCTCTCGGCAGTACTGACTGTCCGTTGTAGTCTCTTTATGTCTGATTTGGTAGCTGAAACAAACCAGACAGTTATGGATGAACACAGGACAGACTCAATGATAGCAGAGTAAAACTGTTTCAGCAGCTCCTGTGGCAGGTTGAATTTCCTCAGCTGGCTAAGGAAGGACAACCTCTGCTGGGCCTTTTTAGCAATGGCGTCTATGTGAGTGTCCCACTTCAGGTCCTGAGAGATTGTGGTGCCCAGAAATCTGAATGCCTCTACTGCAGCCACATTGCTGTCCATGATGGTGAGTGGGGGGAGAGCAGGGGGTTCCTCCTGAAGTCCACGATAATCTCCACAGTTTTGAGCGTGTTAAGCTCCAGGTTGTTAAGACCGCACCAGACAGCCAGCTCTTTAACCTCCTGTCTGAAGGCCGATGACTGTAGTTTGTCCGCAAACTTCAGGAGCTTGACAGAGAGGTCCTTTGAAGTGCGGTCATTCGTGTAGAGGGAGAAGAGCAGTGGGGAGAGAACACAACCCTGAGGAGCGCCAGTGCTGATGGTGATAGTCTTGGATGTGAGTTTGCCCAGCCTTACTAGCTGCTGCCTGTCTGTCAGGAAGCTGGTGATCCACTGACAGATGGAGGTGGGCACAGAGAGCTGTGTGAGTTTGTCTGAGGGAAGGTCTGGCATGACGGTATTGAAGGCCAAACTAAAGTCCACAAATTGGATCCTTGCGTAATTCCCAGGTCTGTCGAGGTGTTGCAGAATGTAATGAAGTCCCATGTTGACTGCATCGTCCACAGAGCTATTTGCTCTGTAGGCAAACTGAAGAGGATCCTGCAAGGGTCCAGTGATGTCCTTCAGGTAAGCCAGGACCAGTCGCTCAAATCACTTCATGACCACAGACGTGAGAGCAACAGGTCTGTAATCATTAAGACCAGTGATTTTGGGCTTTTTGGGGACCAGAATGATGGTGGAGCATTTGAAGCAACAGGGAACTTCACACAGCTTCAGTGATCTTTTGAAGATCTGTGTGAAGATGGGGGGCCAGTTGGTCTGCGCAGACTTTGAAACAGGCAGGTGAAACACCATCTGGGCCTGAAGCTTTCCTAGGTTTCTGCTTCCTGAAGACCTGGTTCACATCCTCTACACAGACCTTAAGCGCAGGTTGAATGGTGGGAGGGGAGGGAGGCTGGTTGCAGGGGTGGTGGGTGAATGTGTGAAGTGCAGATCAGAGTGGATGGCGGGTGGTAGACTGGCCTTTTCAAATCGACAGTAAAACACATTCAGATCATCAGCCATTTGTTGATTCTCCACAGACTGTGGGGGTGGTGTCTTGTACAAGGTGATGTTCTTGAGACCAGTCCATACTGACGCCGGATCATTGGCTGAAAACTGTTTTCTCAGCTTTTCTGTGTAGTTTTTCTTAGCCACTCTGATCTCCTTTGTTAGTCAGTTCCTAGCCTGGTTATACAAGATTTTATCCCCACTTCTGTAAGCATCCTCTTTGGTGTGACGAAGCTGTTTGAGTTTCCCAGTAAACCACGGTTTATCATTATTAAATGATAAGAATGTCCTGGTGGGGATGTTTCCATCCTCACAGAAACTGATATATGAAGTTACAGTCTCTGTGAGCTCGTCCAGATTGGTGGCTGCAGATTCAAAAACACTCCAATCAGCAAGGTCGAAACCTCACTGATTATACTCTTTCCTTTAGTTTCCTCACTGCTTAGTGAAACTGTATTTGATAAATGTATCTTCCAAGTTTGGGTCATCATATGATAACATACAAATAAAATGAACTTGGGGATAAAAATCTAGTTTAAAACACATGTGCCACGATTTTAGAAATGAACTTTGTGTATACAGGCTTTTTTTTTAATACTTTTATATTATATAATTGAATTATGGTTAATGTAACAATCAAGTAATAGTAATAACATATTTTACTTGAATTTTAAATATACATCAGTTTCAAAAATGTTTTAAAATATATTTGTCTTGGAAAAACAAATTTTTGACAATACTATGCATTATAAATACAGAAATATTACATTTGACCTCATAAAAAAAGACAACTTTATAGCATAATGAAGACAAAAAGCCTGATTTAAATTCTTGAACTATTTTTTTATTTTTTTTTTAGTGGCAGGAGCAAAACTAAATAAAAAAAACAGAGTTGCAATATGTAAACTCAGAATTCTGAGGAAATAAGTAAGAATGGAGATATATATAATGTATAATATAATCTAAAATAATTAATGACATTTTTAATATATATATTTTTTAAAGAAAAATGAGAAAATTCATGTATATAGTAATCTAACGTTATTTGTGTACAATGAAAAAAAATATTTAAATAAAGAATTGTTGTTTATGTCTATTCTTATTTGATTGCATGTATTCAGGATCAGGATTCTGGTGGGGCCTCTCCGCTCCATCTCTCTGCACGGTTCGGCCGGGTGGAAGCTGTCCACTGGCTGCTGTCTCATGCGAATGGAGCAGAAGTGGAAACAAACTGTGGTGCTCTTCCTGCCCACTATGCTGCAGCAAAGGGTGACCTCACCTGTTTGAAGCTGCTGATTGGTCAAGCTCCAGGGTACAGCGTTACGAGCACAGACACATAGTAATGACAGAGATGAATCTCATGTGACAGAGGTGGATGAAAAGGAGCCTGTGACAAACTGTTTTGGGTCACTAGTCTTGTAGGTCACACATCTCAAGTTATTTGAGTACAGTGAGTGCCTTAATATGAGTGTCTTTTTAAAACAGATCCAATGATTGTGTAAGCCAGGGTTATTATAGTTAAAGGGGTCATATGATGTTGCTAAAAATAACATAATTTTGTGTATTTGGTGTAATGAAATATGTTTATGCAGTTTAAGGTTAAAAAAACACATTATTTTCCACATACTGTACATTAGTGTTTCTCCTCTATGCCCCGCCTTTCTGAAAAGTGTTAATTTTTCCAAAGCTCATCGGTCTGAAAAGCGAGGTGTGCTCTAATTGGCCAGCTATCCAGTGCGTTATGATTGGCCGAATACCTCAAGCGTGTGATGGAAATGTTACGCCCCTTGCCATATTGTGATGCCTTGTCTCGGCCGGAGCAACAAGACAAAAACATTAAAACCCATTACAAACGAGGCATTTGTTGCATCCAGTGGGGACATAATTACGGATTATAATGACTTATACTGTCTTTTTACACGTTGCGTTGCATCGCGCCGCGTAAACATAAAACCATATCTGCATTTGTGATCGGAGAAATGATAAACAACAAGTGCTACTCTACACTGCTCAAAACTCGCGTTTGAATCGTCAGTGGCAAATTCTTAAAATTTAAAAAAACATACTTACAGTCTGTGCGTCAGAACAGCCGGGTTTGTAGTCTACTCTCCCAGGATCAGGAAACAGTACTACAGCGAGATTAAAAGTTACACCTTCTTTCCTTGCGTGAACATTTGGGCGGCGTTATGCAAATCTTCCCACATCATGATGTAGACTTGTGGGGGCGTGTTAGAACGAGCCATTTTAGGTAGGCGTGGTTGACTCTTAACTTTTATAAAGAATATCTCTTTGGATTTGAGACTTTAGTCTTTGCAACTTTACAGATCTTCTTTATGCACCAAGAGCTTGTAACAGTCCAAAGAGAAAGGAAAAATTGAAATCGCATCATATGACCCCTTTGAATCAAACTAAGACCATAAAAAAATAAATAAACAATTTCAGTTAATGTTTATTTTATTTCAACATTTTTTATTTTTATTTAGTTTAAATTGATGTACTTAAGTAACTAAAACTAAAACTTACAAAATTATTACAAATATAGACATTAATTAAAATAATATAAAAATAACAAAATAAATAAATAACAAAAATAACACTGACTTTTATCTAATATTTACCTAAAGTAAATGGACATTTTGGCACGTTATGATGATATGATGTCATATTGTGATGCCTTGTCCCGGCCGGAGCGACAAGACAAAAACATTAAAACCCATTACAAACGAGGCATTTGTTGCATCCAGTGGGGACATAATTACGGATTATAATGACTTATACTGTCTTTTTACGCGTTGCGTTGCATCGCGCTGCGTAAACATAAAACCATATCTGCATTTGTGATCGGAGAAATGACAAACAACAAGTGCTACTCTACACTGCCCAAAACTCGCGTTTGAATCGTCAGTGGCAAATTCTTAAAATTTAATTGTTATGATGATATGATGTCTATTCATTTATTGACACCATTGAGCAATCAAAGTTTCAGAGCTCAGCCACTTGAACCGACTTCAGTTAAATTAATGGAATTGGAACAGCATATGCCAAAAGCAACTCAATAATATTTCTAACAGCATCCAACTTCTTATATATAATAATCATATTATTAATTACTGCATAAAATTATGATTACAACCCCAATTCCAGAGAAGTTGGGACATTTTGTCAAATGCAATAAAACCAAGAATCTGTGATTTGTTCATTATCGTTTAACTTTTATTTAATTGACAAAAGTACAAAGAAATGATTTCCAAAGTTTTCACTGACCAGCCTAAATGTATTTTGTAAATATGAACAAATTTTGATTTTGCTGGCTGCAACACACTCCAAAAAAGTTGGGACAGAGGCCTGTTTAACACTGTGTCACATCAACCTTCCTTTTAATTACAACGTTTCATTGTTTGGGAATTGAGGATACTAATTGTTAAAGTTCTGCAAGCAAAATTTTTTCCAATCTCGCTTGATACAAGACTTCAGATGCTCAGCAGTCTGTGAGCCATACATTTTCAATAGGAGTCAGATCTGCTGGCCAGTCTAGCACATTCACTCTGTCTACGAAACCATGCTGTTGTAGCACATGTAGAATGAGAGCTGGCATTGTCTTGATCTAATAACCATGGACTTTCCATGAAAGACATCATCTTGATGGTGCTCTGTACAATTCCAATATATGCCTCCATGTCAATGGTACCTTCGCACATATTCCAGTCACCTATGCTGTTTGCTCTGCTGCACCTCCATACCATGACAGATGATTGATTTTGCTTCTGTCACTAATGAAAGTCTGGATGGTCCCTTTAGTCTTTGGGACCGAGAACTCAAAATCCATTTTTCCTGGAAACAAGTTGAAATGTGAACTCATCTGAGCACAGCACATTTTCACTGTCTTTTTGATTATCTGAGATGAGCTCTGGCCCAGAGAACCATGGTGACATCACTGAACAGAATTGATGTATAGCTTTCTCCTAGAGCAGGGTTCCTCGATTAGTTTTCGCCGAGGGCCGAATTCTGCCAACAATACCAAACCAAGGGTATTATATATATATATATATACTGTATATATATATATATAAATTATTATTATTATTATTACAATTAGTATATTATTATTGCTTTTGTTAAAATAATCAAAAGATGGTCACAAGATAAATATTCAGATTTTTTCCCCCAGTAGTCTGTTTTATTCAAATAATTATGAACATTTTTGCATTTAGATACAGAAGAACTTTGCCTGTTGAATATTAAAAACAAATGAACAAACAAAAAATCTGGATCTCCATGTCTGCCATGCAAATCAACTGTTCCTGCTCATCTCCAGATTTGATCTCTTCTCTCCACTTTCCCTAATTGCAGATTCAATTATTAGATCTGTCAGCATTAATATTTTTATACTTTGATTTTTTTGGGGGGGATCAAACTGTAACACCGTGTGTCCCAACCAGACACGACGCGATAAAAAGTATCTTTTCCATGGAGTTTTTGTCCTAACCACCCGAATCATTTGAACTTTGTGTCAGCATGTCATAAATAGAACGAGTCAGCAGTTTTCTGTCTGGGATTTGTCGTGCCGCATCCAGTGTAGACAGCCTATTGAGTAATCCTGTCCTAGAGTAACAGATATTCAAGTTGCATTTCTTAATGCAGCAGCAGACTGTGGTAAATGACAGTGGTTTTCTGAAGTACTCCTGAGCCCATGTGGCTATATTTAACATTGCAGCATGACGGTTTCTTATGCAATGCCATCTGAGGGCTCAAAGGTCAAGCACATTCAAGCACATTCAAGTTTCCTGCCTTGCCCTACATGTACTGTGATTTCTCTGGATTCCCTGAAACTTTTCACAGTATAATGTATGGTAGTTGGTGAAAGACCTAAATTCTTTGCAATTTTGCATAGCGAAATGGGCTTTTTGATTTGTTTGACACTTCTCTCATGAAATTTGGCACAAAGTGATGAGCCTTGATCCAGCTTTGCTTGCAAAGACTGAGATGCTCCTTTTATACCCAAACATGATTCCCTGACATATTATCATCAATTCACCTGCTTACTTTGAACTATTTCAAAACAGTTAAACAGGAATATTCTATAACCGTTTCACTTTTATTTTGCCTCTGTTCCAACTTTTTTGGAATGTGCTATAGCTGTCAAAAACAAAATTTGTTAATATTTACAAAATACATTTACGTTGGTCAGTGAAAACTTTGGAAATCTTTTCTTTGTACTTTTGTCAATTAAATAAAAGTTAAAGAGAATTAACAAATCACAGATTCTTGATTTTATTGCATTTTACAAAACGTCCCAACTTCTCTGGAATTGGGGTTGTATATGTATCATAATTATTTTATATAATATAAAGTTTTTTATTATTATTGTAGCATCTTTATTTATGTTATAATTAATTGGAGATTAAATTATCCTTAAGAATTTTTTTGTGAAGGTTATAATTTGTTATTCCCTCTTGTACTGACCCAGTGTATAGCTTTTGGTAAACACCACAAGACATTGAAAAAAGAAAAGAAAACAATGGCAAAGTAGCCTAATCATGTTATTTATCCATGTTCTTAGAAATGTCCGTAACACATGCTCTGCTTTGGTGGTGTAACGGGAAGTGAACATGTGCCATGAAAGTGTGGCACTCATCAGAATCTACTCTCAGATCTACTCACCAGAATGAGACTGCACATAATGCACGCCTGACACCAAAGCAAATGTGCTTCCTCATTTTTTTAGATACAGGCTTGAAGGCAATAGCTGCTCTAAGAACAGAAATGGGTATTTAGAATTTTTTATTCAAACTTAATTTTCCTGAGTTTGCTCAGTTACTAGCACAGCTTTTCCATGTAATGAAAAGGGACTGGAAGTTGAACCGTCAGAGCTGCTTCTCACCGTTACTGAACCTAAAGTCCTGAATCCTTAACACCTCAAGAGATCGCCGCTGGGTTCCACAACCATAGTGATTGAAAAAGAGCTTTTGGAATAACAGACTTACTTCCAGGGCGTTAAAATTATCAGTAGTTTTCGGAAGACCTTAGGGTTTCTGCTGTTTTGGTGAAGGTTAAGAGTTTGTTCCACCGCTAAGGGGTGTGTGAAGGTTTTAAAAGCGACCTAGTAGCACGCTGCAATGGTACAACCAGGTTTGTTTTTTGAGTGACTGCAGAGTCAAGTCATGAGGATTAATCGATTCAAAATAAAAGTTTATGTTTACATACTATATGTGTGCAAAAAAATCAAAATACTGAGAAAATCGCCTTTAAAGTTGTCCAAATGAAGTTCTTAGCAATGCATATCACTAATCAAAAATTAAGTTTTGATACATTTACGGTAGGAAATTTACAAAATATCTTCATGGAACATGATCTTTACTTAATATCCTAAATGATTTTTGGCATAAAAGAAAAATCGATCATTTTGACCCATACAATGTAATTTTGGCTATTGCTACAAATATACCCCAGCGACTTAAGACTGGTTTTGTGCTCCAGTGTCACATATTAGAATGATTTCTGAAGGATTATGTGACACTGAAGACTGTAGTATTGGCTGTTGAAAATTCAGCTTTGCCATAACAGGAATAAATTACACTTTAAATATACAGTATATGAAAATAAAAAAAATATCGGTAACACTTTAGTATATGGACTAATTCTCACTACTAACTAGTTGCTTATTAGCATGCCTATTATTAACGCATTGGCTGTTTATTAGTACTTATAAAGCATTTATTCGACATGACCATATCCTACATCCCTAATCCTACCCAATACCTAACAACTACCTTACCTAAATACCTAAACTTAACTACCCTATTACCCCTAACTAACTATTAATAAGCAGCAAATTAGGAGTTTATTGAGACAAAAGTCATAGTTAATGGTTTGTTAATAGCGAGAATCGGATCTTAAAATAAAGTGTTATTACTTACTATAATACTTCACAATGTTGCTGCTTTTACTGTATTTTTGATCAAATACAAAACCTTACCAACCCCAAACTTTTGAATGGCAGTGAATGTTGTTAAATTCTTTAAGTAAAAAATCAAAAACAAACTGCTATTCTTAAAAACCCACTGAAACTATAAAACTATAGGGAACCTATAGAAATTCCCCTTTCTGAGCTGGCTACAAATTGATGCCATAACTGAACAGCTCCATACGATCCCATGAACTTTAAATTAGCCTCCAGTGATTAATATCCAGGCAGTAATTGGTTTAACAGTGGTGGACATTGACACAATCATTTGCTCTATTTATCCTTAGCTAAAATAGTTGATTTACCAGACCTTACATATTGTTATGCCTTTAGCACATGTTTGAATCCTTTAGCGCAACTTAAATGAAGGGGGAATGTATGTCTTCCATAGATAAGGACATGTGAATACCAATAGCGGAAGAAGGATTTTACTCAAAGATTTCTTTTAAGTTGAACATTTTTCATTAGCCTTTTTAAAAACTCACTTGAATAAACATCCAAATTGACGTTTTCTCAGGTGTGTTAATCGACAGACAAATATGGGTGCCACGCTGCTGTATCTGGCCTGCCAGGAGGGACATCTATATGTTGTGGAGTATCTGGTGAAAGACTGTGGAGCTGACGTGCATCTAAGAGCCCAAGATGGTATGACGCCATTGCATGCTGCAGCTCACATGGGCCACCATACATTGGTGGTTTGGCTGGTGGGTTATACATTTACTTCTACAAGTATATGCTTTGGTGTCATGAGCTCTACTATAGGTACAATACTTGTTTGGACTACTTCAGGTGTCCTTCACAGACGTCAGCCTGTCTAGTCAAGATAATGAAGGGGCGACTGCTTTACACTTTGCTGCCAGTGGGGGGCATCATGGCATCTTGGAGAGGTTGTTACAGATGGGATCGAAGGTCAAGAAGGATTACTGGGGTGGCACTCCTCTACATGATGCAGCAGAGAATGGGGAGATAGAGGTGGGTTCAAATTAGGATGTGAGTCTGTTGTGTGGTGTCTACAACAGAAATGTTTTTAATTATGCCTTTAAGTCATAATAATTATATAAAAAACTATTTCCCAGTGCTGTCGAATCCTCATGGGTCACCAGAGCAACCCAAGGGAAAGAGATGTAGATGGGTTCACGGCTGCTGATCTGGCTGAATACAACGGCCACTTTGAGTGTGCCAGATACCTTCGCTCTGTGGAGAGAAATGTAAGGATCATTTCTTATGCTGGCAGAAGAGAAATAACATCAGTTTGTTGATCATTTAAGTTAGTGATCATTGTTTCAACTGTCTTTCTAAAGCCGCAAGGTGCACAAATTAAACACTGGCATTATTTGAAATTTCATGCTGCCCTATCTTGATTGCGGAAATATTGAAAGTAGTGACATGACATAAATGAATTATGAAACATTCTTTTTGAACTGAAAGTCTACTGAAGCTATTAGAATCGACTTAAAAGATAATGGTCAAATGCAGGAGGGTTAACCCTCTGATGCATTAATTATTAAATGACAAAAAAACGATATTTACTTTTATTTATCCTAATAGTTAATTTTACTTCAAAACAAGAATATAGTAATTAAACATTTGTTTGTTTATTTATATGAATTTTATTTATTCTATTAATTTAATAAAATAATTATGAATTTATTTAGTTTAATAATTTTTTTAAATGCATTTTAAGTGAGTTGGAGATCTGCCACCATGCATTTAAGGTGTAAAGTAATATGTCAATGAAAAAATTTTAAATAATCATAAATAATTTTCAACCTTTTTTAAACCTTTAACATTATCATTTTATTTTAAATATAAATATTCAAAAATTAATGGAAGTGAAAACAAATATATACAGTGCAGATTACAGTGGATGTATTTTCATTTACTTTAAGGAAACTATATAAAAATACATGAATAATTGCAGAATTAAAGATTCCTTAGATTCTGTACTACTGAAAAATATCATGAGGTGCATGTTATTTTGACCATTTTTGTCAGTCATATTGAATTATACTTTTATATGTTGTTAGAAAAAAAAAAAATGGACAGACATGTATAATTATGAGAAAGGGTCAAAGGCTGTAACATCATACCATGAATGTTTAAAAATGGTCTGTTGTTGACATCATGCATCAGAGGGTTAAAGACCTTGCAGTGAAGTGTCACACAGACAAACTCAGAAAGGAAAGCTCTCGTCCAAATACATTTCTTGCCTCAAAAAGTCAGTTCTCTTAGTTGTCCTTTATCCAGATCTTCCTTGTTTTGCCTGACATGTCTGAGCAACTATGAAAATCAGGCCAGTGACTTTCAAGGTGTCACATAGCACCTACTTTCAAAGAAGCTTTTGTGTGCAGTGGACCTCAATGGCCTCTCAGCCTTCTTGTTTCTTGTGGTAAATAAGATGCTGCTCAATTTAAGTCATACATTTTTCAAGGGTGAACATGATAGTGCTGTCAGGGCGGGCACAACAACTGAACCACATTGGAAAAGGAATTAATTCCACATTTAGAGCACAAAATTGATGGATCAGTCTACGGGGGATACTGCTGTTGTAGTGATTTACTATATCTCACAACTGTGCATTCTTTCTTTTCTTTTTTGAAGATGTCCATCTGTGTTAATAGGCGGTTGAAATAGCAGCTGTTTTTGCTGTTCCCATTCAAGAAGTGTAGATTTTTTTTGTTTTGGATTCCTTCCAACATACCTTGCTTAGCTGATAAAACACGTTTAACAAGCTAATACTGAATGTGTGAGCTAAAATCCATATGAACAAATTGTAGAGGAGCTGAATATTAATTTCTGTTAAATAAACATGTTGTATAAGGTACAGGCCATAAATTTATGTTATGCAAACCTCTATGGATTATATTGGTTACTCAGCTGTTGAATTGTAAGCATACTGACAAACGTATGACAATACAAGCTGATTGCCATTAGCATAACCTGCCATAAGTCAGATTAGTCAGATAATTTAAAAAAGTTTTTCCACTTTTCCAAGTTGGACTGGAACCATAAAGCAAGTTCTTGATTATAAATCTGAAATGTTCCAGGTATAAAACAAATAAAGCCAGATCTAGGACTTTTCTAGCCAATTAAGAATTCAATTAAGTTTCATTAAATTTGAAGTACCATATCTGAGATTTCACAGAATTAATTACATGGTCTCCAGTCACCCTGGTCACACTTTTCCATAGATCTAATGTAGTAATATAAGCTCCCTGTCAACATAGGCATGAATAAAACATGTTGTATAAGGTACAGGCCATAAATTTATGTTATGCAAACCTCTATGGATTATATTGGTTACTCAGCTGTTGAATTGTAAGCATACTGACAAACGTATGACAATACAAGCTGATTGCCATTAGCATAACCTGCCATAACCTGCAAATATTTTTTCATTTAGTCAGATAATTTAAAAAAGTTTTTCCACTTTTCCAAGTTGGACTGGAACCATAAAGCAAGTTCTTGATTATAAATCTGAAATGTTCCAGGTATAAAACAAATAAAGCCAGATCTAGGACTTAAAACCACATTTTTGCTATGTCAACAGGTTAAAACCCAGTTGAAGCCAATTAAGAATTCAATTAAGTTTCATTAAATTTGAAGTACCATATCTGAGATTTCACAGAATTAATTACATGGTCTCCAGTCACCCTGGTCACACTTTTCCATAGATCTAATGTAGTAATATAAGCTCCCTGTCAACATAGGCATGAATAAATCAGCTATTCATTGCTCCTATATCAATGTGAGAGACTCAGGGTGCTGCTAGATGTCAAAAATTAAGCCGACCTGCCCCAACAATAGAGATCTAATTAGTGAAGGGAGGCTGTTGAAGCATCAGATGCAGCCGTTCGCAGTCTCTCTACGTGCTGGGGGTGTATCGGTTACCTTCTCACCAGCAGCCTAGCTCAGGTAGAGGGCCGGGGGCTGAGCTGGTTATGGGATCCACAGGGTTTGGTTTCAGGGTTTTTACCATTCTAATGCTTGGAAACCGATACTTGGATCTATCAAATCGGTTGGAGAACAGGATGTTTATTGGCTTCAAACATGCATCTGATTGTTTATCTTTTTTCCTTTAACCCTAATTCCATTGGAACACATCTGATCAAGCAGTACTGCCTTGGATAAATACATATAGTAAGACATTGTTTTTGCTGATTTCTCCAGTAAAAACTAGACTTATGTACAGTCTAACTTGATAAACACTGCCTCTGAAAAGCTTGGGGTCAGTAAGATGCGAATTATCAAAGAATACAAGAAAAATAGTTTGTGGTTTCAACAAAAATATTAAGCTGCACAACTGTTTTCAGCATTGATAATAAGCACCAAATCAGCATATTAGAATTATTTCTGGAGAATTATGTGACTCTATTGGCTGCTGAAAATTCAGCCTTGCCATCCCGAGAACAAATTTCATGTTAAAACAGAAAACAGATATTTAAAATCTTAATAATATTTCACAGTATTATTGTTTTTGCTATATTTTTGATCAAATAAATGCAGACTTCCTTCAAAATCATACCAACCCCAAACTTTCAAACAATAGTGTATAGAACTTTAAAAAATAAATAAATAATAACTAGGGGGACCTAAAGTCAAAATGTCAGGAAGGTACAACTGTCCTGATGTCATATTAAAGGGGTCATATGATGTTGCTACAAAGAACATTATTTTGTGTATTTGGTGTAATGAAATGTGTTTATGCGGCTTACAGTTAAAAAACACATTCTTTTCCACATACTGTACATTATTGTTTCTCCTCTATGCCCCGCCTTTTTGAAACGCGTCGATTTTTACAAAGCTCATCGGTCTGAAAAAGTGAGGTGTGCTGTGATTGGCCAGCTATCCAATGCGTTGTGATTGGCCGAATACCTCAAGCGTGAGACGGAAATGTTACGCCCCTCACCATACTGTTGATGCCGTGTCCTAGCCGGAGCGACGAGACAAAAACATTAAAACCCATTACAAACGAGGCATTTGTTGCATCCAGTGGGGACATAATTACTGATCATAATGACTTATACTGTCTTTTTACATGTTGTGTTGCATTGCATCGTGCCACGTAAACATAAAACTCTGTCTGCATTTGTGATCAGAGAAATGACAAGTGCTACTCTACTGCCCAAAACTTGCGCTTGATTCATCAGTGGGAAATCCATTAAATGAAAACGTACTTACAGACTCTGAGTCAGAACTGCCGGCATTTTAGTCTAACGTTACTCTCCCAGGATCAGGAAACAGTCCTCCATAAAATGTGCTGCACACATCTGTATATTTGGGTTAAACTGTTCTGGAACAGTGTTGTAAATACAACTTAACCACTGATTTGTAGTCGTGTCCTCTTTTGGAAGACCAAACAAAGTAGTTTCGCTTTCGCAACGAAAATCACAGCGGCTTAGCTTGCGCTGAGGCCGGGATAGAGTGAGCTGAGGCCGGGCTAGAGTGAGCTGAGGCGGCGGGGTCGAGAACGGCGCGCCCGGCGGATCCGACAAATGAGCGGCAACCACATGTGACGACCCCGGGCTGGACTCCGCTTCGTCCACGGTGAAAGTTGATGTATTCCCTCAGCGACCAGCACAGATCAGCTCCAGGCATGACGAAGTGGTTTTAGTCCTCTTTTGGAAGACCAAACAAAGTAGTTTTGCTTTCACAACGAAGCACACAGTGTCTTCACGACATGGCTGCAGCGTCAACAATACTACAGTGAGAATAAAAGTTACGCCTTTTTTCTTTGCGTGAACATTTGGGCGGCGTTATGCAAATCTTCCCACATAGTGACGTAGACATGCGGGGGCGTGTTAGAACGAGCCATTTTAGGTAGGTGTGGCTGACTCTGAACTTTTATAAAGAATATCTCTTTGGATTTGAGACTTTAGTCTTTGCAACTTTACAGATCTTCTTTATGCACCAAGAGCTTGTAACACTCCAAAGAGAAAGGAAAAATTAAAATCGCATCATATGACCCCTTTAAAAGAAAAAAATCATAAAAAAAGAAACATTCAAAAAATCATAAGAAAATCTTAGTATACCAAATAATTTGACCTTTTTATGACAAGGCAAGGTTAGTTCAGGTTGTAAAATGTCATGTGATGTACCTCCTGAACAACACAAAATTATATTTCTGAATTAAATATTAGGCTTTTACAATGAAAAGTATATTTAATAAGATTTTTTTGAAAATATGTGTATCACAAAAGAACTTGGCACTAGACTTTTTCAATTTTTTA